AAAAGTGGGCCATTAATTATAATTATAGGTACAACTGAATAGGAGATGCAAAATAAAAATCATGAGAGAGAGAGAGAGAGAGAGAGACAGGACTGGGAGGGCAGCAAAAGGTGAGCCAACACTCGGTTTGTTTAATACAATTGACATTCATTTCCGCACTTTTCTCGCACTAAATCATTCACACATTTATTATACCAATTGTTATCCCAGTCTTCACGACAAGTATAGCCCTTATTATGTATATGTATTCATAACTGTTATACACTATACAGAAGTTACTATATTTAGGCACCGATTCAATGGTGAGGCCAACAAAACACTAATTAATATATATTTTTATACATAACTTATTATCACATGAATTGTCGGATGAGTGGAAAAAACAGTGGCAAACAATAGGCACTTATATATCGCTACTAAAACTTAATTAAAACACTTATAATTGCATTAATAATGAGTCAAAAAAATTGTACAATAATTAAGCGGATTGTATGCAAAGACTGACTCAAACTAAACACAAAATTATTGTTATTATTATAAAAGTTATTGATTTTTAAGGCAACAAATAGTTAGCGCAACACAAAAGTCACCACAAAATGCAGTATTATTTTTGTGTCAAATTTTACAACTCTTTTCAAAAGTCAATTGCAATTACTCTATAGACAAACAAATAGACAGTATTTGACAATCAATTTAAAACACAATACAATTAATGGCAAAAATGCATTCAATTAAATGACTTACCATTTGATGAGTTTGTGAAACAAATAAAATAATAAATTAATGTCAATAATAATAATTGTGTGGATGTGTTGGCCATCACTTCAAACCATATACTTATATATTATCTATATTTCTATTAATAGTTAATAAATATATATAAATGTATTGCAATTGTGTTTCGATGGCAACACAATTAAGTCAATGATTGTTATTATTATTATTATTCAAAGTAATCAACGATTAGTTAAGCGACAAAACAGTGAATGATATGACTATTGAATTGCATTCAAAGACAACACAAACACTCAATGAATACTCGAAAAAGGTTTGTCTATAAAAAGCAAAGGACAACACTTTTATACATAACTCACGACTTATATGGTATGCAAAGGGGAGTGAATTAGTGCTCACTTTGCCTACAATTTATATATAGTTTTCATTGTGTAACAAAATAATGGTATATTTTCGTTGACGTTATTTATTTTCATAAATTATGGTTATAATTAATTAATGATAGTTTTAGTGACACCTATTGGACGTATAATTAACTATAAGTTCTAAAAAGTTTTATGGTAAGTTTTTAACAATGGTTTTATAAATTAATTTTAATTAAATATTAATTAAATATTAATTAAATATTAATTAAATATTAATTAAATATTAATTAAAATTTAACGCAAAATACAATTAAAATAAACATTTTATTCATATTTGTAAACATTTGTTGTAAATAATTCTTGAAATACATAAGTATTATAATAAAAAAACATCTCATTTAATATGAAAAATAAAGAGATAAATATTTTGTGAATAATATATCAGTCATTCAATAAAATATTAGCATTAAATACAATATTATATATTTTAATAGAAAAACTAATTTTTAAACAATCTTTTATAATATATTCTTTGATAACAAAATAGTTGATGTATTGGAAGAGACTATGAAATCATGAATTCAGACTTTTGTTGAGCACTACATATGACACAAACAAATTCCTAAAAAAAAGTCAAAACATATTTCATTATAAATCAATCAATAAAAACCGCGTTTATTTCATATCTTACGCCTTTTGTGGCCAATAAACAGCTTTCATGGAAAATATGGCGACAATTAAAGACAACAATATCCGTGGCGTAACGTATCTCTAAATACCATCAAATTAAATATACAGCAAAATGCAAATCAATTACCGTATCATTAAAAAAAAACATGCATTCAATGGAGACAAACCTCTGGCAAATATCTTTCGCTGACATCCTTGACATAAGTAGTCGTCATCGATGGACACACCTCTTCGCTGTTGTCGATTCAACTTCTGGAGCAGCGAATAACAGTCGGACACTAAGACCCGTCGGCAGCCGTCCTCTAACTCGCTCTGGAGGTTATAATCGCGAAGAATCTTCACCAACGCTTCGTTGAGGCCATCGATTTCCATGCCCTCCGGTATGCGATGAATGAGCGCAATGGGATCAGCCATATGTGTGCCGATGTTGCGCAACAGTACGCGTATAAAACAAGGCTTATTCATCGAGTACTTGATGAGGTCCTCCCAGAGTTCTGCGTCCGAGTGCTCTTTGCAGAACTCGATGGCGTGATTGATGTCATCGAGTTTATCGGTAATCAATTGGAGCGCTTCCTTCGTGTTTCCCATTCGGCCCAAAAGGAACACAATTTCGTTGAACAGATTTTTCTTGCGGCAAATGTCGAGCGCTTTCTCTAACTGGTAGTGATTGGAGCTGCGGAGGAATGCCATCAACTTTTCCGACGAGTACTGGGCGTACAGTTCGACGAGTAGGCCGTGATGTACGGCACAGACATCGGGATCTTTATGTACCAAATGATCCAAATATGTTAACAATAGCTGTGGCTTTGACTTTAACTTTTTGACGACTAGTTCAACGGGTATTGTCTCCTGATTTTCGATCAATAGTTTGGACGCCTCGTCGGCGTTCAACTGCAGAAACACTTCCAACTGTTCCTGAAGTTTAGAATAGAGTCCGTATTTGCGGATGAGATCAAACACCTGTGTCTTATTGCCAATGTCTTTATAAATGGTAAGCGCTTTGTCGTGTTTGCCTTCCCGTGAGTAGAGTTCGGCCAAAGCCTCCAACAGGCGCTCGTTCTTTGGGTCAATTGTCAACACATCCAGAGTTGCCTTAACTATAGTGGGAATGGAATATAAATTGGTATTCCATTCGCGAATTGTCCGCAAAAAGCCCGCGGAATCCATTTCGAGGAACTCTTTCAACACAATCTCATAGATGGCCGGATTGAGGACCAGTTCGGGACCTCGAGGTAGATATGGGGCCACAACTCGTAACTGATCAATGCGTTTGAAGCGCACGATCTCGTTCTCCCAGGCGTCCCGATCGGCGCCACAAATGGTGGGACAGAGTTGGGCCGCCTTTTCGTATTGGCTGTGATGTGACTGTTCTAACAAATACTTTAAATAAACACTTCCAACACTTTGAACGTTGTGTTTCTTCAAACTCTTATTGTATTTGACGACTTCGAGTGCCTCCTCGTACTGCTGGTGCTCCAGAAGCCAAGTCACGTGATCGTCCTCTTCGCGAGGTTTGGCCACAATTAAGTCTTTGGGACACAGAATCAGGTAAAGGCCCTCTTCGGGCAAACACTCCACGTGGTAGTCGTTGCTCCGGCAGCTGTTGAATGACTTTGGCGACAGTATATCACTAGAAATCTCTTCGTAATTATCGGTTCCAATCGGTTCTATCACTTCTACCCGACAGTTGTAGGCGTTATCCAATTCGTTGGCCACTTTATTGACACAAAGCACCACTAGTTTGGACTCAATGGGCGCTATACCACACACACCAAACTCCACATTAAACGAAGCGGCTGTCCATTAAAATACACGGCAATTAAAGTGTCTGTAAATTGAATGACAAATTGGACTAAAGTCTTACTGAGTTCGACATAACGTCGCGGCAGTTCATTGTTTTGCTTCTGTTTAATACAGCATATCTTTATAGAGTCGGCCCAACCTATCAGTAAAGTCCGGTCGTCTTTCCAACAGAAATGGCACCGAAAGAGTTCGGGTCTAAACCTATGGCCAACAAAAAGCAATTGACACTAAAATACATGAATACATGCTTTGCATTTGTGTGCAAACCTCTGGACGTCATTGTCTTTCTCTCTGTCGATGTAAGTGATGACCACTCGGTCTTCGATGTCGTATATCTTAACGCACTGATCGCTGGCCCACGCGATGTATTGCGTTCGCCACCGAATGTTCCGTATATGACCTCTCGATTGCTGAAGAATTGTTGTCCGATATCTCGCCAGAAATGTCTTCTCAAACAAAATTATCTGAAATAAAAAGCTATTAAAACCATTGGACCGAAAGCCGAGTGCGAGTGCGGGCGCCCATACTTTGTCCGCCTCTCCGACCACAAACCGTTTGCCACCTCCGGGTCGTCGGAAATATGGATCGATAGCTATGGCCCGAACGGGTCTATCAAATGAATTGTGGTAATTGTGGTCCGAAGAATATAAACCAAATATCACTATCTGTTGACATCAAAACATGATTTTATTAAACAATACGTTATCTAAATTGGTTACAAGACATACCCTATCGTCGGAACTCGTGGCTAAATATTCTCCCTTTTCATCGATACTAATTTGATTAACAGATGTCTTGTGCTATGGTTTTGATTGGATAGAGAACCAGAGGTGTGACACAAATGGTCAGTTAGTCTATATTGGGATCAATACAAACCAAACAAAGTTCGCGATCATTGACTCGATTGCCCAAAACATCGATGATATTAATTTTGCCCAAATGTGTGCCCAAAGCTATGAACTAAACCCAAGACACAAAACACACATTAATTAATGTCCACAACAGGCAAGTGTCCCATCAGTGGCCACACAATGACTGACCCGCGAGTGAACGGCCAGACAAGTGGCCGACTCTTTCTTGAGTATAGCCGACACATCGTTAGTGATCCTCTCGTACGTCAACTTCGGCTCCACTTCCTATACAACGAGACATCAATCAATGGTAACAATCAATTGAATCCAATAGATCTCGTGTCAAACCTCATCGCTTTCATCACACATTTCGTCCGTCTATTCATTTGACAAAACAAAACAAAAGTTTCAAACAAAACATTAGGCGTTAAATGCAATGCTTTTGTGGCCGATATGTCTCACATGAATGGTGTGTTGACTATCACTGACTCCCACTTCAGCCATAATTCATGTCTTTGTTTGAATAGATGTCTAGTTTTGCGTATTGTTTGCCATTTAATACATGAAATCGTCGATCGTTTCTATGAATCAAATGATCGCTCGTTTTGTTTGTGTTTTCGTTTTATTTACAAACTTTTCAATAACGCTGTCATTGACGGCATCTCTTGGGCTTCACTGCAACACAACTGCAACACAACTGCAACACCACTATTAGCTTTACTGTATTGGCAGCAAAAGGGGTGTAAAGGGGTGTACGGCTTATGTGGGGTTGTGTGGGGTTATGGTATTATATGTGAGAGGGTCTCTATACCCCCCTTTCAATGTGATCAACATAAAAATAATGTTATTAATAATATAATATAATAACTTATTATAATAAAAACCAGAGAGAGAGAGAGAGAGAGAGAGATCCCAATAAAATTAGTTAATT